TCTGGTTTCTATATCCATTATTGAACATGGAGTATTAAAGTCTCCAACTATTTTTGTGAGAGTCTCCAACTATTTTTGTGTAATTCTCCCTTTAATTCTGTCATTTCTCTTTCATGTTTTGGAGCTCTGTTAGGTATATATATGAAACTTTTATCAATATAATATCCTTCTTTATCTCTTGTAATTTTTCTTGATTTAAAACTTCTTTTCTGTGCTTTTTTCAAAAGATGGCACTGGAGGTGAAGATGGAAGCTCTTGACTCTCCTAAAGCCAATCACAAAGTGAAGGCTTTAAAGAACAAGGAGGCAGTGCTGAAAGGCGTCCACACAGCCACCAAAAAAGAAGAAAATCCGCATATCACCCACCTTCCTGTGGCCAAAGACACTATGACTCCGAAGGCAGCCCCAATATCCTCAGAAGAGCACTCTCAGGAGAAATAAGCTTGGCCACTATGCCAGCATCAAGTCCCCACTGACCACTGAGTCTGCTGTGAAGAAGACAGAAGACAACAATACACCTGTGTTCACTGTGGATGTTAAAGCCAATAAGCACCAGATCAAACAGGCTGTGAAGCAGCCCTGACACTAATGTGGTCAAAGTCAACAGGCCTGAGGGAGAGAAGAAGGCATATGTTCGACTGGTTCCTGGTTACAATGCTTTCGATATTGCCACAAAACTGGGATTATCTCAGCTGAGTCTGGCTCGCTAATTCTAAATTATACATATAACATGTATATATTGCATATTCTTATGTATAATATATGTGTATATATTGTTTAAAATATGTTACATATATTCTTCAGAAAAAATAGTGGTTTTTGTCTGATAATATAGCCACCTCAGCTGTCATATAGTTACTACTTTCCAGATGTATCTTTTTCTATCCTTACTTTCAACCTCCTTGTATCCTTATATCTAAAGTGAGTCTCTTAAGAAAGCATATAAATGCTTAATTTTTTTATTCCAATCTGCCAATCTTTGTTTTTAATAGAAGAGCTTAGCTCCTTTACATTTAATGTGATTACCGATAATTTACTTCTGCCATCAAGCCATTTGTTTCTCGTATGTCTTAAATGTTTTTGATTCCTCAATTCCATTACTGCCTTCTTTTGTATTTGATTGTTTGCAGTGTACTGTTTTGATTCTGTTTGGTTTGCAATGCACGAATTTGTTAGTTTTACTATTTACACAGATTACATCTTACTACATTGTATGCCCATTAATATAGTTTTATAATTTTTTAATGAATTTGTCTTTTAAATTATAAGGCACAAAGAGAAAAAGTTATAAACCAATAGTACTGTCTCTTATATTTACCTCTAAAGTTATCTTTATTTTTTCTTATGGCTTCAAGTTTCTGTTCAGTGTCCTTTCATTTCAGCCTGAAGGACTCCCTTTAGCATTTCTGGTAGGGTGTGTCTACTAGTAATGAGCTCCTTCAACTTTATTTGGAAAAGTCTGGATTTCTCTTTCATTTTTTAAGGATAGTTTTGCCATATACAGAAATCTTGGTTGAGAGATTTTTTTTTTTTCTTTCATGACTTTAGATATGTCATCTTGCTGCCTTTGGGCTTCCAAGATTTTTGATGAGGAATCGGCTGTTAATCTTGTCGAGAATTCTTTGTGTGTGATGAGTTGCTTTTCTCTTGCTGCTTTCAAAATCCTGTCTTCAAGTTTTGACAATTCTAATAGAATATGTCTTGGTGTGAATCTCTTTGCATTCATCCTGCTTGGATTTCATTGAGATTTTTGGATGTATAGACACATGACTTTCATCGGGTTTGGGAAATTTTCTATTATTATTTCTTTAAATTCTTTCTGTCCCTTTTCTCTCTCCTCTTTTCTGGGATTCCTATAATGTGTACATCAGTACGCTTGATGATGCCCCATAGCTCTCTTGGGCTTTTTTTTTTCTTTTTTTCTTTCTCCTCCTTTAAATAATTTCAATTCTTTTCTCTTTAAATTCCCTGTTGTCTTCTTTTGCATTCCCAAATCTTCGCTGACTCCCTCTAATATGCTTTCCATTTCAAGGATTGTACATTTTAGCTCTAGAATTTGTTTGGTTTCTTTTTATGATTTCTATCCTTTATTGATATTCTCATTTTGTTCATGCATGGTTTTCCTGATTTCCTTTAGTTCTTTGCCCATGGTTTCCTTTAGCTCATTGAACATACTTTCTTTGACTAATAATTCCAATGTCTGGACTTCCTCAAGGATGGTGTCTGTCAATTTTTTTTCCTTGTGAATGAACCATATTTTTCTATTTCTTTTTATATTTTGTAATTTTTTTGTTGAGAACCGGACATTATGAATATTATATTGTGGTAACTGAAAAATCTAAATCTCTCATGCCTCAGAGATTGCTGATTTTTGCTTATTGAGGGCTGGAGCCAACTATTTGCAACTTTTCCAATTCTTTGTGGTATGGGGTCAGTGAAGTTTCTGTTTTGATATCTCTGTGGTTAACCAGTGACCTAAGATTTCATTAAATGTCTGGCTTGCCAAAGGGGGAATAAAGGAAAAAAATAGGTACTGTCTCTTTAAACCCCCTTGTGGCTAGTCCTTTTGCCCAAGGGAGTTGAGAAAATGATCAGCCTCTGCACTGGCCCCTCAGTGATCAAATGCAGTAATCAGCAATCAAAATATAAAAAGCTGACTTTTTTTTGTTTTGTTTTTGGAGATGGAGTCTCGCTCTGTTGCCCAGGCTGGAGTGCAATGGTGCAATCTTGGCTTACTGCAAACTCCACCTCCTGGGTTCAAGTGATTCTCCTGCCTCAGCCTCCTGAATGGCTGGTATTACAGGCACTCGCCATCATGCCTAATTTTTGTATTTTTAGTAGAGGCAGGGCTTCACCATGTTGGCCAGGCTGGTCTCAAACTCTTGACCTCAAGTGATCCACCCACCTCAGCCTCCCAAAGTGCTGGGATTAAAGGTGTGAGCCACCATGCCTGGCCACAAAAACTTTACTATCAGAGGACAAAGTTGTTATTGCCCACCCTGGCACCAACAGGCTACACCAGGAACATTTTCCACAGTTTCCTGCTACAGAGCTTGGGAATGCTGCTATGTGAAACAAACTCATCAAAATTTATAAGCCTCTCCATCATGCTCTTCCCTGGTAACAGTTGCTTGAGATAATTACTACCAGCTCAATAATTGTTTTGGTGGAGGAACAGATTCCTGATGCTGCTACTGCCATCTTCCATAACATCCTTCTCCATGTCAGCTTTTGTAACAAACTTGTTCAAACATCCTCATATCTTCTGAACATAACACCCTGGCCTACTGGTAATCACAAGAAGCATACAGCTGGATATAACATAAGGACCAACATGGACAAAGACTTGTAGGAGAGACAATCTGCTTTGCATTAAAAAAAAAAAAAAAAAAAAAGGTCAAACCAGCCATAAAAACCTGCTGTTCTGACTCCAGGGTGTGCTATCAGCTGCTTTATAAAGTAGTCTGTGAGCTGTGGGCCCCAAAGGAGGGGAGTGTTTTGTTGTACTCTTATTGTATTGCAAACCTGGCTGCAGTTGGAAGAGGCCAGAAGGAGCTAGTGGCCCTGTGTACTCCAACCTTGACTGCTGACCAGTGACTCTGGGCTCCACCAGGTGTTTGCCCTCACTGTGGGCTTTGTGGAGCTCGATTTTGCCTTAGTATGTGAACATAAGAACAGGCTTTCTGCAAATGCTAAACAGATGGATGACATGGTATTCCCCACCCGCACCTCACCAAATTATGAGCAGACAAGGAACTCTCTATTTCCTTAACTGAGTAAAGAAACGATAGCATAACTACGTTTCAAATTCTTGTGTTTAAATGAATTAAAAATATTCAGAGAAAGGAAAAGAATTTTATCCTTTTTAAGACATCCTAAGTAGAAAGAAACCCGGGTGGAGGAGCTGGGATTTGCCAGGCCAAAATACACAAACAACAATGGTTGGCTATTGTATGGAAACAATGGAACACCATCCAGGAAATTCTGTGGGATTGCTGAGGGACAGGGCACTATGGTTGGTTCTGGGGATGAGGTGCCAAACACAAGGCCCCACACTGAGGCAGCATATGCCAAAGTCACAAGGACCAATGTTGCCCAACACCACAGATACTGTCTCCTGTACCCACTCCCACCATTGCCAACTCAGCTAGCAACACTGCCATTTTGGAACCCCCAATCCCTTCAGCTTCTACAACACTATGGCCTCCTGGCTCTCACCTGACCTTCTGGCTGCCCTATGATGGGTTCTCTAATGAGAACACAAATGCCAAAGGGGAGGGAGGGAAGGGAGAGGCTGGTAACTCAGTGACCAGGAACCTAGAAAATCAACACTTAATAACATAACTTGTCTGTGGCTTCGAAACTATGTCTTAAATAAAAATAATCTTCTATCATACATTTTTCTTTCAAGTACAATCGAGAGAAACTAAGAAACAAAATTCAAGTTTTGATTTCATGTATGGCAAAGAAGGAAAGTGATTTTCCATTATAATAAACATTTCTTTTACATCAGGAATAACAACAGAAACACAAGACTTTCATCATCAGAAAAACGCACTTTATGTATCTAAGGACAATTAAAGGCTCTCTTTTTTTTCGTTCATCAATTTGAGTTGAATTTCATCTAATGTCTGGTTGCTCTCTCCTACCAATGGCTGTGGATCTGCCTAACTCAAAGGACGTTTTGACCTGTTCTCTTATTGCTAAGAAATGGCTAGAAAAGCTTAGACCTTTTAGGATCACCATGTTCCTTATCCTGAGCAGGTTTTTTAAAAAAAAAAAAAAAAAGAAAGAAACAAAAAACAACTCTCAACTATTTATCATATTATGTTTCTATGGCTTCTGCTGCTAGTTGTCCTCTGAAGCAGCCAGGCAGTTAGTGCTGCTGCCAGGCAGCCTTAGAGACCGCAGATGTCCCTGTGCAGTAAATTCAGGGCCCAACCACGAGTGCATCCTCCCCTTACCCACACAGGATAGCCATGGCCCCTGTGGACTCCTTACCGAGCTGACGTCCAGCCTGGGGACTCGATGTGTCAAAGGGCTCTGAGCTGGCCTCAGGGACACTGGGCTCCCACGACTCACTGTTCTCAGATACCTCTGAATAGGTGTCACCCATCCCTTTGTGAACTGCTGTGAGCTCACCAGTACCAAGGCCCTGGTCCTCAATGCCTGTGTCTGCCATGGCTCGGGTCTCCTCCCCCATTTTCTCAGCAAACCACTGCTTGACCTGCTGGGAGCTCATCTGGGTCTTGTCACAGAGGTTCTGCAGGTCCTCTTCGTAGAGCATCTTGTGCGTCATGAAATAGTCCTGAAGAAGCTCCCGGTTGCCAGGGGCAATGACCAGTAGCCCTGGTGGGAAGTTGCCTCGCTTATAGTCTTCGTACCACTTGAGTTGGCCATTCTTCAGTGCGTACCTGCTGTCTCCAAACCAGCGCACCACCTCTGGCCGGGGCAGACCTGTCTGGGCCATTATGGAGTCATAGTCTTGGTTGCTCGGCCACTGTGTCTGGACAAAGAGCTGCCGTAGCAAGTGCCGCTGCTGGGCAGTCTTTTTGCAGCTCACTTTGCCTGGGAACTGCTCTGCCGGTTTGTTTGACCCATCATCTTCCGGGTCACAGGCACCCAGCCCTGGAATCTCATTCTTGCCATTGGCTTCAGTGACCCGCAGGTTCTTCAGATTGATTTTAATGGGGCTGACTTTACGCTCTGCCAAGATATGGCTGCTGGGCATTTCCAGAGAGCCATTTTCACCAGAGACCCTTAGCTCACTGGACAAATCCTCTTCTCCACGCTCATCCTCAGCAGCCTCCTCTTCCTCCTGAGAGGCATTCTCCTCAGCCTTCTTAGTCTCCTCAGCATTCACTTTTTTCCGTCTCTCTGAAAACCAGCTATCAATTTCTCTTCTGGTCATTTTAGTTTCACTTCTCAAGCGGTCTAGTTCCTCATCAAGAGGAAGAGGGTTTTGTGCAAAACTGCTCTCCAGGGCTCTGAGTTGCTCAGGGGCTCTCTCCTTGTATTTGGTTGGTGTGAAGTCAGGAGTCTGGTGCCAAGATTGTCGTTTGGCAGAAGGGTGAGTTGCTACTGTGGCTGTTGGTGGGATGCAGGTGACCTCAGGGACCTTGGATGATGGGGAGAAGGACACCTCTGGCACAGAGTCAATGATGATGGAGCTGTGATCTCCAGGCATCATCGCTCTGGAGCCCTTCAAGTTCCGGCAGTGGTATCTACGATCACTGAACCATTTCCGCACCTCTCTGGTACTGAGGCCGGTCACTTTGGTGAGATGCTCAACTTCGCTCTGCCCTGGGAACTGGTTCCGACAGAAGCTCCCTTTCAGAGCCGACAGCTGTTCGTGAGATTTCTTATTTTTGTAGATGCTAGCATCAAGGAAGGCTTGGGAGGTTATGCTGGGGCAGGCTGTGAGGAGCGACTGGGCTGCATTGACCACCTTCACAGCTGATGTTGTATTTGAACACACAGTGTTAATGGGTGCCACACCTGGCTGCTTGGGGACAGATGTCACTGTGAGGGGGAGAGAGGAACTTGTTGCTTGTAACCCATTGGCCATCAATGGCTGAGTGACTAGAAGTCCCCCTCCTGTGCCCTCTGGCTGCCCTACAACGTGACCTGGGAGAGCAGCCTGGATGAGATGCTGGACATTGCCAGCACTGGCGACCAGTGGGGTATTTAGAACCGTAATTGTGGGCTGAGGCACAGACTGGATGACTGTATTGAACATCTTTTTCCGGGCATCCTCAATCTCCTCAGGGGACCAGCTGATCCCTTGCTTCAGCCTTTGGGCTGTGAACCAGATCTTGAGCTGTTCTTCTGGATACTTGGTCACCACAGTCAAATAGCAGAGCTCAGCTTTGGTTGGGTAGGGGAACTTGTGGAAGGAGTTCTTCAGGAAGCTGTTCGAGTCCATGGCTGCGTTGTACGTTGGAATGCTGCTCAGGGGGATCATCACTTTGGGAAGGGCCTTGGCCGTGGGCAATGGCTGTTGGGCATGGTGTTGGGCATGCACTGGGGGCTGCTGCTGGAGAGAGAGGAACTGTGCTATGCCAGCCGGCAAAACTGGCACTGTTCCTATCAGGGGCCCGTTGGTGGCATGGGTGTTTTTTGCAGAGCTGGCAGATGCCTGGCTGACTGGAACTGCCCCATTGATGAAGGATTGGTCCCCCTCTCTCACCTCCATTTCTCCAGTCGACAGCTTCGGTAAGGCCTCACCCACAGGCTGGCTAGGGACATTCTCCTTGAGAGTATGAATTTTTTTGGCTTCAGCTTTGCCTTTCATTATCTTCATGATTGGAGTTTTGGTAATGATGATTTCTGCCTGTCCATCAGTCCCTTCGGCACTGGGCTCACCTGCTAGGTCAGGAGTGCTGGTGCCCTCAGGGACGCTCTGCTCCACAACCACATGATTGTCTGGCTTGGCCACATTCCACACAAAGCTGGCTTCCCCTGAGTGACACGTGGCATTGTGCAAGGAAAGCCCCTCAGGGGTTTTTGCCAGAAAACTGCACCCACTGCATACAAAAGTTGGGTCTTTATTAAAGTCTGTGTGCTCTGAGTTCATATGTCCCACAAATTGGCTCATGTCATTGGATCTGAAATTGCAGTATTTACAGGAATATAAATAGCCATCTAAAGTGCTCCGATGCCCATTGGCTAGTGCAGAGCCATCAGTACTGTTGGGGTTCTGGGCTGCCTCGCTGTTGGCAGCAGGTGCTTCTGGGGGTAGATCCTGCTGGGGTCCTTCAGGCAAGGTCTCAGTGGGCTGGGCCTCCATGCTGGCATCCTGCAGCACCACTGTCTTCACTGGGATCATGCATGGTGTGGTGGATTTCCTCTTGCTGGCCATGGTGACAATCACTGGGTGATCAGCAGTTCAGAGCTTGTCCCATCAGGGGCCTCACAATACAAGTTCCAGCTTCCCAGTGAGAGCCAAAGAAACAGTTTCTAAGTGCAGTTTTTTCAGTTGTTTGCAGAAAGCAGGTTTTCCCTATTCAATCTAAGGAAAGGGAGAAAAAAAATGATTAAGTTCTTTTAAGCACTTTCTGTATATTTCTCAGATACCCAGACACATTCCACTGCTTGCCTTCTACCATCTAGGTCTTTTCACAGTAAATTGAATCGGCAACCTGGATGTAAAGTCTAAGTTAGGAACCCCCTAATGACAAAAACTGGAACCTGACGAATGACCTGGGGATGGTCCAATACCATTTGACAGAATTAAGCAATGTATTTTTGTTGTTGCCCCACCACCCCCTATATATCCTTGTATTAAGTAATTCAGATTTAAAAACAAAATCATCCTGTTTCTGGACCTCCAAATTAATTCTGACCATGTCAGAATGAGAACAAAAGAGCCTAGTATAATTCTTGTTTACATGTTTGGACCAATATGCGTTTTTCTTTTCATAGCCTTCCCACATATGAGAACAAGATGACGCCTCTGTCTCTCCCAAGCCAGGGCCAGGGACCAAGTTAGCTGCAGTGTGTGAACGGAAGGGGTGGGGTGGGCGGGGGTGGCTGGAAAGATTGGCTGCTGTAAGAGCCAGGCCTCTGTGGCCTTTCCTTGCCTGTCACACTTGTTCCAGGCCACAGAAAAGGGATCAACTCATAGTCACTGGCTGTATGTACCCCAAACCACTGTCACTCAGATGAAGCCAAAGGTCAGAGAGTCAGGGAACCCACAGAATCAGTTTGTGGGCCAGCAAGCTGTACATTCTCTATCTGGGTACAACAACTCGAAGTGTGTTCTCACCTTGGGCACACAACCTTGTACCATGCTTTTTTTAAATTATTCTTTTGGGTAGATTTATTATTTCACAAAAAAACTATTTCTCAGCTCTTTGAAACTTACTTCATTTTATTTTCCTTTTTTGAACAAGTCTCCCTCTGTTGCCAAGGCTGGAGTGCAGTAGTGTGATTATGGCTCACTGTACCCTTGATCTCCTGGGCTCAAGTGATCCTCCTGCCTCAGAGTAGCTGGGATACAGGCATGTGCCACCATACCTGGTTTGGTATCTTTTGTAGAGACAAAAAATAGTAGTAGTGAGGCTCTCTCACTACGTTGTCCAGGCCAGTCTCGAACTCCTGGGCTCAAACAATCCTCCCACCTTGGCCTTCCAAAGTGCTTTGGATTACAGGCATAAGGCACTACGCCAAGCTCTCTTTGAAACTTATTTCAAAAGCTGGGTTAATTCATTTACTCATGTATAAAGTAATTGTAATAATTGTTTCACAAGATGCCATGAGAAAAGGGCTTCTGTGGTCCCTATGACTAATATATAATAATTATCATAACTGCTTTTCTTTTTAGCAAATTATAATGTTCTAATGACTAAAACAAATTCTAATACTAAAATCAAGTTAGGAGTATTTGGATTTGATATAAAAATATAAAGAAAATTAAAATATCTCTACTCAAATTCTCAGCAAACACGGCTAACTAGTTTTTTAAATTTATAAACCTAACTTTGATAATCATGATAAAAATAATTTTTAAAAATTTGAAGGTAAGGATAAACATAAACCCCATCTAACCACTTGTCACCCTTTCCCCCGCCAATATGAAATATTATGCACACATTTTTTTACTTAATTTTTAACTATAAGGATAAAATATAATTTAAATAACATTTAAGAAAATAAATCTATAACTTTGTATACCTTCTCATTTAGTCCAGATACTTTATGCATATTTTAATCATAATAAGCACACACTTGTGCTTTTTTCACCAAACACTGAATTACAAACATTTTTGTTACACAAGCTTTATAATTATAACATTTGATAGCTGCCTAATAATGTTCCACAATAGATTTGACTCATCCACCCCTGCTGTTGAACAGCATGCCAATCTCAAGGGTGACAGTGAAATGAACATCTCTGGGCATACAGGATGTTTTTCTTCTGTCAGATGATTTCCTGAGGTTAAGTGCACAGAAATGGGCTTACCATCAAAGAGCATCAACATTTCTAAGCTCCTTCATATATCTCATTGGCAAACATTTTAAATCAAGTGCTTTATAATCCCAGATCAGAGAAACTAAGAATACTACAGTTACGGACCCAGTAAGAAAATCAGAATTTCAGACAGGTTATGGAAGACATCAAGTAGAATGAAAGCACAAATGACAAAAGAAAAAACAGATAAATTGGATGTCATCAAAATTAAAAACTTGTGTTCTTCAAAGGTCATCAAGAAAGTGAAAAGACAGACAATCCACAAAAAGAAAAAAAAGATTTGCAAATCATGTATCTGGTAAAGTATATCCAGATTATAAAAAGATATCTTACAACTCAACTCATTTTTAAATGAGTAAAGCATTTGAACAGACATTATTCCAAAGAAGATATACAAATGGCCAGTAAGCACATAAAAAAGTGCTTAACATCATTAGTCATTAGGAAAGCACAAATCAAAACCACAATGAGATACTACTTCACATCCACCAAGATGGCTATAATTATAATGACAGATAACAAGTGTAGGTGACGATACAGAGAAACTGGAGCCCTCGCATATCACTGATGAAAATGTAAAATGGTGTAGCTACTTTGGAAAACTGTTTGGCAGTTCCTCAAAATGTTAAACATAGAGTTGCCATAAAATCCAGCAATTTAATTCACAGGTATATACACTGCATAAATGAAAACATGTCCCCCCCAAAATGTGTACACAAATGTTCATAGCAACATTATTCAAATAATAGCCAAAAGGTGGAAACAACCCAAATGTCTATCAGCTGACAAATGGGTAAATTAAATATGATATATCCACACAATGGATTACTGAGCCATAAAAAGGAATGAAGTTCTGACACATCCTGCAACATGGGTGACCCTAATGCTAAGTGAAAGAAGTCAGATGCAAAATGTCACATACTGTATGGCTCCAATTATATGAAATGTCCACAAGAGGCTAATCCATAGAGACAGATAGATTAGTGGCTACCAGGGACTAAGGGTAGGGGAGAAGGGGGAGTGACAGCTAATGAGTCTCCAGACAATGAAAATGTTCTGAAATTAGATAGTGGGGATGGTTGCACAACTCTGAATATGATAAAAACCTCAGAAAGGACATCGAACCCAAGAAAGATAGAGGACAGTAAATTATAGCACTCAGTTCTATAGAAGAAGGCCAGCATTTACATTTCTTTTTTTTTTTTTTTTTTTTAATTTTTTTTTTTTTTTTTTTTAGGCTAGTCAAGTGAAGCAGTGGGAGTGGAGAAGGAACAAAGAAATCTGTAACTGGTTGTGATCAATTAGTTGTAAACACCACTGCACTCGGACCAGCCAGCATTTACATTTCTAAGGTATCAGTGTTGGTGACACCATTCTGTGCTACTTCCTGACTCACCTTGGTATTATTTACTGCAGCCCTAGAGAAACTGAACAGCAGGGGCTGTGAACATCAGGTTTGTCAGGGAGAGAGAAGAGAGATGCAGACCTCCCATCTGGAAGCAGCACCAACACAAAGGAAAAAGCATGAGCATACCAGAAGGCCAGGCAGCAGAACTCAGGAGCAGCTAATTGCAGAGGCCCTAGCGACATAACACAGGCACAGGGCCAGAACGGCTATTTGTAATGGGGACTGGGTTTCACCCAGGAAAAGGCAAATAGTGTTCCTGGTATTCTACTTACTAAGGCTGAGAAGCAGACAACATGAAGATGGATTTGATTTTTGGCAATGGTCCCAATGTCATTCAAAATTGTCTTGGCCAGGCATAGTGGCTCATGTCTGTAATCCCAGCACTTTGGGAAGCCAAGGTAGGAGGATCATTTGAGGCCAGGAGCTTGAGATTAGCCTGGGAAAGATAGGAAGACCTCATCTCTACAAAAAATTTTTTAAAATTGGTCGGCCACCATGGTGTGCGCCTGTAGTCTCAGCTACTCAGAAGGCTGAGGTGGGAGGATCACCTGAGCCCAAGAGTTTAGAGTTACAGTAAGCAAGGATGGTGCCACCACTACACTCCAACCTGGATGACAGAGTGAAACCTGTTTCTTACAAATCAAAAATAATTAAGTCTCAAATTATCCCTATATTATCATTCAAATAAATGACCAAGGAGGGTAGCACTGCTAAGTATGCTCTGGATAGATGTCCAGAGCAATTACAAAAAAGCAGTAGTAGCAGCAGTGGCACCCACAGCCAGTGTTTACTGAGTGTTTCATATTGTTGGAAGTGCTTTTATACACATTTCCTCATCTCATTCATAAACCCAAGAAGAGGCACTATAATCATCCCCATTTTACATACAAGGGCAAGGTTCAGAAAAGGGCAGTAACTGCCCGAAGCACACACAATTAGGCAACAGCAGAGGCTGCATAAGAACCTAGGCAGTCTCGCTCCAAAGCCTGCAACTTCAACCATTCCACACAGTGAGCTTTCCGAGAAACCTCCAGATTGTTGCAATAAGGGCTGCAGACCTCTTGAAGTAATATTTTCCCCCAGCATTTATTAGGAAAATTTTAAACAAACAGCAAAGTTGAAAGAGACTGACAGTTGAAAGAGCTTGAACACCCATATCCCCACCACCTGGATGCTTACTAAGATGGCTGTTTTTAGCAACATTACCCATTTAGGTATGCTTGGGTTTATTTGTTTCTTTGTTTTTTGTTTTTGTTTTTTTTTTTTTTTTAGCCAGAATCTCGCTCTGTTGTCAGGCTGGAGTGCAGTGACGTGATCTCAGTTCACTACAACCTTTGCATCCCGGGTTCAAGCTATTCTCCTGCTTCAGCTTCCTGAGTAGCTGGGATTACAGCCAGGCACCACCACGTCCAGCTAACATTTGTATTTTTTAGTAGAGACAGGGTTTCACCATGTTGGCCAGGATGGTCTTAATCTCTTGACCTCATGATCTGCCCACCTGGGTCTCCCAAAGTGCTGGGATTAGAAGCGTGAGCCACCATGCCTGGCCTGTTACGTATTTTTAAAGGTGTTAAAAGTGGTACTTAAATAGTAAAGTTCCAATTATCTAGAAAATCATTCGTCCAAAAGA